ACAACCAAGAAGAAATGAAAAAAAAAAAAAGAAAAAAAAAAAGAACCTTAGAAGCAATCTAGTTAACGATTGACTAGAAGCAAACTCACTTCTCAATCATGTAGCATCCCCACCAAGCGACCGACCGAATCTCCGCATCTTCAGCCGTAAGACGACCAGATTCCACCCACGGATGAGGGTCAGTATGGAGACCCAAAGTATAAGCCATACGCACAGCCATCCCTAGAACCAGTCATTTATCAGCAGAGACCAACCAAGTCAGACCCAAAAGGTCAGCCCACCAATATACGTCCACCCTGCCGGCTCAATATCCAACGCCAACTCCGCCACCGAGATCAACGCAGCGGCCACCACCGTCGACACCCGGGGCGCTTCCATCTCTTCAAAGACCAGCTGTTTCGCCTTGGCAGCAAAGCCAATCCCCGCCGTATATGTGCCGAAGTCGTGGGACAGCGCCGGCTCATCCGAATACCGAGCCGCCACCGCCAGCATCGCATACAGCAGGGTGGGCGTACAGTAATCATTATCCCGGATTTCATAGCTCCGACGCCAGGCACTTTCGTGAAGCAGATACTGCCATGGATTCTGCCACCGCCAGAACAGATCCAACAGCGTGTCCTGGATTGCGGGGTCGACGTCGATCTCCTCGACGCCGGGCCGCTGGCTTCGATCGGCGGAGAACTTCAGCAGGTGGTCGTGGCACCGTTCGTCGAGCTGTTCGGAGACCATCGCCAGGTTGCTGCGCGAGTCGAAGAAGCGCAGCTCCTCGCCTTCCCCGAGACTTAATCCGCCGCATAAATCGACGAGTTCCTGGACCGAGTCTTGGGGCGTTGAGACGTTGGTCGAATGGTGACTTTGTTGTTGATGATGATGAGGTGGTACGGTAACTGGGGAGAGTGGTTCCTGTCCTTCGTACTGCGCGACCTGTCGTTCGAGGCTTTTTATACGCGAAAGCAAGGACTGGATATAGCGCTTGCTTGGTGGTCTGCCAGTCTTGTCAGATGTTGGTTGCTATGTGAATGATTAAATGTGGTAATCATGATGTTATACTTGCGCTTCTCCTCAGAGTGCTGATATTCACAGGACTCCTTAAGCCTAGTACATCTTGAACAAGATGGCTTCGCTCCGTCGCACTATGTGACTTTTAGGGATCTTTCATAGTTGGACGATGGCGGTACTGACTTTGACACGTCTCTTTCGACACGCCTGACATGCTATTGATACCCGCTGACGAGAAGTCATCTTGCAAGCGGCTAGGTCTAATTTGATGAATGCGATAGATATTAAGATCAAATACCATTGAATTGCCCCTTTGTGGGTAGACGTCGTCACATGGGTAATACTGAGTAATTGTAGTGTTGTAGTGAAGTGTGGTCTACTTCCCGGTGCCACGGTGGGACTTGCTTAGCGGAAGCTGCGGTCGACAACCCCACCGGTCGCGGATAATGCCCTTCCCCTCTCCTCCTAAACTCTACTAAGTTACGTAGTAGAGCCCCACCGACCCAGTCTTCTCAGTGATACCTCTCCACCACCCATCCCAGCTTTCCATCCCGACGGGCCTCACGATCCTCGAAAAAGGGCTTGAAGACCGAAACGACCGCCGTAACCGGGTCGAACTTTGGCTGATATCCTGCAGTGTCCGGGCTCACCACCCGCCCCGTAATCAGCGGCATCCCCACCAGGATCTTGGCCTTGTCCGGCAAAGCCTCGGCGAATAGGCGACTGAGTGTCTGCGACGCGGCCTTCACGGAGGACAGCGAGGCAAAGATGGGCTGCGGCTCCTTGTCCAGAATGCCACCCGTGACAAGAAACAGGGGCCATTCGCCCTGGGTCACACGATTGACCCGAGCGTGGTTTTCGCCAGCGAACCACTGACCCGCCACCAACGTACCGACTGCGGAGACCTTGAAGTCTTCTTGCAGCTCTTCTGGCGTTGTGTTGGTGATATCTGTGACGGTGACGCGGGCCGCGTTGTAGCACAGGACGTCCAACGTGCCTCCGAGTTCCTGGAGACACCAGTCGAGCGCTGCGGTCAGGCTTGCAGGTTCGCCAGCATCGGCCGTGCGGTAGAGAACTTTAGCAGCGGGGCTTTTCTGCGCTTCGCGCACTTCCTTGGCGATGGCTGACAGGTTCTGCTCGGAGCGGGATATCAGGGCGATGTTCCATCCGAGGCTTGCCAGCCAGAGGGCAAGGGATTTGGACATGAGGGAGCCAACGCCCACGATGATGATGTTGCGGTTCTCGCTGATAGTCATGTTGATGCTGGGGAAAAGGTGGATTCTGAAATGCCTGGTGATGAAAGCGAGAATGTACAATCGAGAGGTTATAGTTTAGTGTTCTTGTGGGACAAGATTGTCCAGTGCCCTGTCGATGAATGTGGTTTTGAGTGCGGTTCAGAAAATGTAGTGTTGACAGGCCCGAGTCCCTTTATGTAACTTGGCCAGGTGCGTGCGGACCCTTTTATCCGCGGTCTGATGGGAAAATCTTCAAACACACCTGTCTATAGTCGGGGAGTTTTGTCATCGAGACAATCGACATTCTTCCGTTGAGTTCTGCTTCGTAATGTCAAGATCCACAAGATTCATCACGCATCCTCTTTTAAACCAATGAAACAGTTGACGGAGAGCACGGAAGGGCATTATCCAGACCAGCAAATCCCGCGCCCCGAACCCAAGGCCCAAGATCCAAGACATAGATAAACTTCGTAGCAGCCATTGATTTCCTAGTATCACCTCAGTGAGGTTCTTTTTTTTCTTTTTCTTTTTCATTCTTTTTCACAAAATGGCCATCCTACATTTAGTCCTCTTCCGATTCAAACCCGAGATTTCTCAAGGCCGTCGGCAAGCCGTAAGAGTGCTATCGACCACCTGTGACCTCTTCTGACATATGCTAGTTTCTTCAAGAGTTCATGGCTCTTTCTCAAAAGTGCAAGGATGAGTCAGATAGGCTGTATATCAAAAGTATACGAGGCGGAGTGGAATGTACCCTAGAAGTGTCTTCGGTATGATGCCAGAGTGTCCAGCCTCGCATTCATACGAGTACTGATAAACGCTGTAGGATTACAACCACATCTTCATGGTTGAATTTGAATCTCTGCAGGACCGCGAGTTCTATAAGAATGTGGATCCTATTCATGCCGAGTTTGCTTCGCGAATCATCCCACTCCTGAGCTTGACGATTCTGGCGGTGTCTGAGGAAAGTAACTTCGTCGGCTTATAGGGCTTTTGAAGACCTGCAAGGAGATGTAATCTAATAATGGGATCGTGGAGTGATCTGGTTTGAAGGTGTCTTTGAGGCTAGTGAGATATCCTGTAGCCGAAGAGCAAATGACATCATGTCACATTGGCAAATGTATAGGTAGGTACTGTATGGTTTCCAGAAGCGATCGCTTGTGTGATATCGCTACTGATAACAGCATTCTCGTGCTCTATAAGTTCGTAACCAATCGAGTAGCTCCGAACACGAAACCTGGACTAGTCATGCAGGATGGAGATGATCAGTGATTTGTTCGGGCGCCCAAAAGAGGGGTCCGTCTGTTTGATTTGGGCCGAATCAGTGGCTGCAGCGATGGCCCTGCGGGGAAATCAAAAACGGCGACCTTGTCATCTACCACATGCTCTGCATCCAAAGAACTGTAGGTGGATTTTCTGACCGTACAGAAATGAACGAGTGTAATCGAGAACAGCCGTTTCTGGTCTACAGCAGAGGACTGAGGCCAGAGATTCTGAAACTCGGTAGTCTTTGTCTAGATCCCACAAATCCCGAGGGCGATTCACGAAAGGTTTTCCAATGTCCGATCAAGTGGGTGATTTGGTCTTTTGTAGCTGGGTTGGGACTGGATCCAGTCAAGCGCAGAGCTAATTCGCAGTAGGGACGCAGAACTTTCACCATGGGTGAGCAGCTCTAGTGATGAGATTCACTGCACCCTAAATCTAAGTGCTTCACGTGAATGGCTTGCAGGCGTGAGCCGCCTTGACATCAGCCCTCAGGATACTGGCGAGGACAGCAATGTTGAGGTCCGACTCGAAGGGGAGCAGAGCCGACAAGTCACGATTCAGAGGTAGGATAAAACCCACTGCACAATTCCTCCGTGAACTGACATTCTCAATCCGACCAGACCAGAATTGTTCCTCGAGCAAGTGGTCCTACCGTCCGCAGAGGCAAAGCGATGGCTCGCTACGCAATTGACCGTCTCGCGCACGATGCACTATCTCAGCCGCGCCATCCTTGGCATTGCTCGTCATCCCCGGGTATGGTTGGTGACGGGGCTTCAGTACATCAGCAAGGCTCGTATAGAGGCTGGTTGGTCGCATTCGCCTCATGCATTAACGGGGATCCCTGGCTCAACTCTAGATCCCACAGTGGCTGCACTGACCGGCTTAGCCGATGCAAGTGGTCAAGGTCCACACGTGGGTATCGAGGCAGGAGGATCGACGGGTGATGACACGGAGGAGAAGATCTGGGCTGCTCAGTTTGTGGAATTGAAAATGAGATTTCGTCCTCGCGAGTTGGCCGCTGCCAAACTCCCGGAGGAGATCCAACTGCATCAGTTCAGTCCGCTGGGTGGAATGGGGTTTCAAGGCCATGAACATGTCCCGAGCCAAGAGATTGCAGCAATCGAAGGTCTGGCGGGGCAACATCGAGATGACGAGCAGAACGGACATGGTGCATTTCTCGGAATGGAATGCGAGGATTGTATACTCTATGAAGAACTATTAGAGCAGGTGGAGAGTCGAAAGGGGGGACAATGAAAGCAACCTATGTGTCACTGTGGTTATCAACTGGTTAGTCTTCTGCTGATCGTATGAACTTGGTAGGATCGAGAAGATAAGTACCTAGCATAGAGTATCGGTTTCTCAAGAGCAGTTACATCGTGCCATGTAGGTACAGCCGAGTACGGACACGAAGTAAGCGCAACTTGAGTTAGGGTACGAGTATGGACGCCCATTTTTGCCTGGACCCACCGTAAATAGTAAACAGCCATGTAAGGAATAGATTAGCAGGAGTCACAACCTTAACCTTCGGATTAGCCGCGTTATTCACTGGGTGCGCGGATCATCTTATGAAATGGGATTCTAATGAGACGGTGTTAAAGAAGGTAGGGATTAGTCTCTCACTGAAGTTTCAGAATATCGAGTTCAAAACATCACGGGCTAACCAAATACTTAGTCGAGCTCGATCAAAAAAAGATGATCCATCAGCGCATGAGTAAGTAGGCTAGGATCCGGTGTGAGATCTTATGCATTGCATGCCGCAGATCCGCTGCTTGCTTATCGAGCTGAGGCTTACGAGCCACTGCCCCAGATTGGTCTGGTGCGGGGCAGACATATGATGGAATTGTTTTCCTTGGATGGATTTATGACGCGAGGAGGAGGTTCAACTAGACAGGAGTACTATAGAGTATTCAGGTGTCGCACTAACAAGTCTTGTTTTTTTTTTATTTTTTTTGGTAATGTATAACCTTCTCTATACTTGTAGAACTAGCAAAATTTCAGCGATTTGGTTTCTTGTATGGATCTAAACTGCCCTCTTCTTATTCGTCTTTTTCCTTTGCTTTTTCTTTCTTTTTCCTTTTGTTTACCTTATTAAGATGAGTTTGACTGTGATTGTGATCATTGAAGAAAACTGATATCAACCTTTCTCATCTTGGATTTGTCCTCAATATATACTGAACAGAACCGATGTATGGGTACGAAATTAGGTCCTTATTCGACATTCGACTCGAGAGGAGCTTGTGCACATCATGCTTCGTCAGCCCCGTCGAGGACATTCCCTGATCAGCGCTGAAATCAGACCTTTAACGTAATGGACAATCCTTTGCTCAGTTACCTGGAGTGGAATTTCCCATTAAAGGTGTCTGATAGCTTTCAAGCCTAGTTCATCTCGAGAAAGTTAAACCTGTCATTCACCCTTGGCCTATCTCGACTAAAATTGTCTCTTCTCTATATTGATTAATGCTAGCAAAATAAACCGTTATACTATCGACGTGGAAAACCGGCGCGGTGCCAACATGAACTATGCAGTGATGATGGATGCCCCAAAATCGACTGGTGGTCAGGAACCGTGGTTGAATATCTGGTACACCACATTCGTCCCCTTCCGTGGAAGTTTTAGCGTTGAAGGTTTTCTACGCCTGTAAGTTGTAATCTGTCCCTGTATGAGGGGCATAGGCCATGGGAGCTGACGAAGTGCTTTGCAGGGGTTGGAACTGTGCCTACGTCGCCTGGCCCAGGCGTGATAGTCATCAATGGCATGAGCCTGCTCGCCCGGCTGGGCTCTGAAAGCTCACCCTGCAGTCTGTCACCCGATTACATGTCAATAGCTATCTCACCAGAAGAAGTTGAACAGCCAAAGAGAGCAGAAAGAAACTCGATTTCCTCGCTTCGCGAATAGGCACTGTTGACATGAAGATTATCGAATCATTCCCAATAATCTAAGAGATTGAACTCTCTGCGACGACGGATTCGTACGAGGTCAAAACTGGCACAGACTTTAGTATGCCCAACAACACTTATCTTGTTGGGCTCGCGAAGGTCAACAACAGAGGACGGGTTCCTCCAGTCGGATCGGTGAGGACACGGCCAGCAGTTCATTGTCTACAGACTGATGACTCTTCCCGATGACAAGGTTGCTCTGCACAACAACCAGCGCATTCAAGTCACTCCGAAGATGAGGTTCTTTGTTACGGGGAGTCAACAGGTGTCTGGTGAGATTGTCGACTGCTCTGCTGTGGAGAGAGATGGTGCTGTCGTGGACTTTAGCAGTGGCGAGGGCGCGGGGAAGTTCTATGCTACTGCGACACAGAACCAGGATGGCAAATTCACTGTGGTGTACTCCGACTCTCCTGAGTAGATGGAAGTACGAGTGCTCTGTACGTGGATGAATACCAGGCATGGCAGTGCTGGATGTACCTCGCTGGGAGGAGAATGGAATGAAATAAACAAATAGAGTGGTTATTTACTAAGTATTTACTGTGTCAGTTGCTGACGCTGAGTAAGATATGTGTCAGCATGGCACGGCACGTCGGCGGAAAAATGGCGGAAACTGTCGGGAGAGAAGTAACTCACTCTACTTGTGCCTCCACAATCACCCTATCCTCATATCATCACACCAGCCCAAGCAATGCCTCTGAAGCTTCAGCTATACGCTTCCAATTCGACACGACACGGCACTTGAAGAGCGCAAGATGAACAGCAATATGCGTCGCTGAGCATACAGTAGCTCCATGGCAGCACGCTTTCTCCTACTCTGCTACCAGCATTCGACCGCCGGTCGGGAAAAGGCCCCAGGCGGAAAATGAGGTCGGACGATTCCCACGAGCACATACGCAAAGCCCGAAAGGTCACTAGGGCGTGCGATGCCTGCAAGGCCAAGAAAAAGGCCTGCACCGGAAATATCCCTTGCGGGCCATGTACTCGCAAGCATCTGGAATGCACCTACCAGACGGCCTATAATCGCGGGGTAGCCCTCAGCCCTCCGCCATCCGCCTCGAACGATGATCGTCAACTCCCAACCCCGGGCCGTGGGAGCAGATATAGTGGCGGCAATGCATTTTCCCCTTACCCTCGCAATCGGCAAACCCCGACGGGTGGGTTTCAATACACCGCTGTCGAGGGATCGCACAGTCCGCTCATCTCCCAGGCATCTGAGTCGGCACGTCCGATCCAACAGTCCTTGGTCGAGGTGGGAGGAGACGGGAGCTCGCCAGAGGTGACCGGTCAATACTGGGGTCCTACGTCTGCGCATTCCTTCCTCGACCGTGTTGTTCAAGATCTTCATCCTGCGACGCGACGTTCGCCTTCACAGCAGCATGATCACGATACGCATTCGACAATCTCGATTTTCTCCTATGGCGACCGCGTTGTGCCGCTATCCTCGGTCATTCGGTTCACGTGGCCTGACAGGGCTACTGCTGTAGGCCTGGTTCAGCGATATTTCGACTTTGCTGCACCAACCTACCGAGTTCTCCATCAACCTACTGTCGATAGGCTGGTGTATCGCATGTACGAAAGCCAAACGCCGCACGACCGGTCCGGCTCATCGCCCGTCGAGCCTTCGCTCGAGGCGGCATCGCAAGCTCTTCTCTTGCTTCTCTTCAGCACCGCTACGATGTTTCGGGTAGACATGAGTGGACGTATGCGCGACGCAGATGACCATGGTTGGCAGAAGAGTGAGATGTATTATGCCCAGGCGGACCACCTCCTTTCTCGTGAGACGGGGGCTCCGAGCATGGCATCTGTTCAGGCTCGTTTCCTCATGGTGCTATATTTGCTGAGCTCCTCGAGGCCTCACAAAGCGTGGTTCACCTTTGGGACAACGGTCCAGCTGATGATGGCCCTTGGTTTGCACAACGGACGCACAAGAAGAGGCCACGACGAGCACAATTTAGTTCAGAAGGAATGTCAGCGGCGACTCGTATGGTGCTCGTACACTTTAGACAAGTATCTCAGCGTCATGCTGGGCCGACCACGCTTATGGCAGGATGAAGACATTGATGAGGACCTTCCTACACGGGTCAATGATTCAGACTTAACGCCTCAAGAGAATCGACTCACAAAGCGTGACTGCTTGATGGACGCCCCCGTGTTTCATGTTCTACTAGCTCGTATCTTGACAAGGGCTGTCAAAGAATCTTATGTGCAGACGGGGATATCCAGTCAAGAACAGATCGCAACAATCTGCACATTACATGAACAGGTACTGGCGTGGCAGGCTGGATTGCCCCCGTTCCTGTCAGGCGTTATCCACCCAAGCAGTCTGGTGCCGGTCTTCCGGCGCCAGCTGACAGTACTGCGACTGGCCCGATACCATGCCGTGATGTTCATCACGAGGCCGCTGTTGCTGCGGAATTATGGGCAGATGTGGCCGGAGTGTGAGGCGACCTACCAGCAGCTTCTCTGCACCTGCCTTACGGCAGCCTGCGATGCCATTGAGCTGATTCTCGGCTTCGTGCACGATGACGAGCTTTATACGGCATTCTGGTACTCGCAGTATATCGCCTTCAACGCTCTTTCTATAATATACATTTATTTGATTCAACTTGGACAGGGGCGGATCTTCCGCGTACGTCCCCCCTTCCTGCCAAAACCCGAGGGCTCGCTTGACGCCGAGCTGGATGAAGCAACGCTCTACAAGCTGTCCACACTTGCTCAAGATCATCTGGCTAATGCTACGGCTCGCAACGCACCCTCGTGGAAGTATAGTGTGATCCTCCAGGGATTGCGCCAAGAACTGACTCGCCTGGGTCTACCCCACGCGGACGCACCACAACTCCAGGATGCAACGGAGACAAACGCCTCTGCGGTAGCAAGTGTAGTGCTTGCGCAACCTCATGTCCCGACAGGCCATGTCGGTCAAATGCCACGAGGTGAAGCGAGTGCCTTAAGGACAGGAAGCGAAGAGCACAATAACAATTCAAACGCCACTTCCCACCCTGCCTTTGACCACGACCACTGCATGGACTCGATTGGCCTAGACTCCCGTACAGAGTCCTTGTTGGATTACTTTGCATTGGATAAAGATTTGATGTTGGACTTCTGGCCGCAGTTGGATAGTCTGCCGATCAACTCAGCTTTTTGACCGACGCAGAAGGCAACTGGAATCTTCTGGTAATCTACCACCTCTGGGCGGTAGCCTCAGAGATGTTACCTCGTCTATAAGGCTGTCGCGTGGAGCATGCCTTTTCAGTTTCCTCCTTCTGACGCCGTAAACAAAATGGGGCCTTCCGGGCCGGGACAGAAGATGTACGCCGGAATTTTGCGTTCGGGTTCCCGGAAACTCGAGCCTGTGAATTCCGGGGGAGTTCCCCGGACGGTTGGCACGCTAGTTGTAGTCCAGCTGGTTGGTAGGCACCTCACATATGGTGCCCCTCCTAGTAGTGGTTCCCTTATCGGCGCAAGCGCGACTTAGGCCTGTAGGAGATTGCAGAGAGGAAGAGTCGCATAGGAGAGTCATTGCTTGCAATACCTCCAAGAGCACCGGGGAGGGGCTTCACAATACCCCCAGACTATCGCGTCGCACCGTCTCCTCCGGGAGCCACTCCCTCGACTCCCGGTTCTATATCGAGGTCTTGGGCTGTCCATTGAGCTCGGAGATTGAGCTTCCACTTTGCTTGGAATGTGACAATTTAGGAGAACCCGCCTGCAGGAGATTTTGGAGGTCCAGTGATGAACATCCATCGTGGGTGTTGGCTAACAACGCCGGGTTGTTCTGCTCCAGCCCGAAAGGTCGAGCGCCATATTGCCTCGGCAAACAGCTCCTTGGTCTTGTAGAGCGATCTTGTTTATATAGCTTCCTTTGAGAAGGGGCCTTGACTTTCCCTGTATATATCTTCGTGTTTCTCCTCTTTGACTAATACTTTCTTTGTCATTCACCTTGGGAACTTTGAGTATAGGTGGAGAGTTTGTGTAATCGAGCTTGAGGTTAGAGATTTACTATGCATGCTCTATCTGTATCAGTACTGCCATGTGTATCATTTTTTGATTAGTTGAACGTGGGGCGGCATTACAGCTGGGAGATCAAGGGCACTGTCTGCCCGACACCCTCTCAAACCAGATCATCTGTCCATTCAGTGCAGGCTCCAGGTCCAAACCCAGCCTCTCCACCACCCCCGTCACGGCCACGTGGAACTGCGCCGCCATGTACTCAGGATCAACCCCTTCTGCCTCGGGCTTATACCCCTTCACGACAAAGAACACCCCGCTCACATGCTCAAAGCGCATCCATCCTTTGGCCACCCGATCCATCAAGTTCACATGGAGCTTCTCCTCATTCAGGAACAGTGTGATGGGGCCATGGCCTGGATGCGAGTATGTGCCTGTATAGTCATCCAGCGACAACGGGAGTGGCAATTGGTGGGTAAATCCTGGAAACAATCGACGCTTGACCTCATTGAGGCTCTGCAGCTGTGTTCTCAGCCTCTCTTGCACGATGGCATCGATCTTGGCGATATAGGCCTCTCTGTCTTCGCCGGACCTCCCCAACAACCGATCAAGCAGATAGAGGTAGAGCTCCAGCTCCGCGTATCTCGCCTTCTGCGTGTTGCCCATCATAGCAAAGCCGAATTTCTTGCTCGGGACAAAGCCCACCATAATTCCGAACCCTTCCCAGCTCCCCGAGTGCCAGAATATCTGTTCGCCATGGTAATTATCCACGAACCACCCGAGCGCATACAGGTGAACTTGTCCCGGCGGGGTGATCAAGTCTTCCCAGTCTTTGATGATGGTCCGCGGAGACAAAAGCTCTTTATACCCCTGTGGTGAAATCGGCGCTCCTCGATATATCATCGTGCGTATCCATTTCGCGTAGTCGAGCACATTACTGACAATAGCGCCCGTGCCGGTGGTCGGCGCGTAATCCATGTAAGGGCGCTCGACGTGGCGATTCGTGGTAGGATCCCAGGTGTAGCCCTTCACGAGACGCTGTGCGGTCGCTGGACACGCGAGAACCTCGTTATTCGAGAAATACGTATCGTTCATCCCAAGAGGCTTCCAGATCCGCTTTTTCATTATGCTTCCCAGACTTGTCCCGGACAATTGCTCGAGCACATGCGAGGCAACCATGAACATATGGTTGCAGTAATTGAACGTTGTCCGTGGAGCAAATGCAAGGGGCAGGTGGCGGAGCTTCCGCACCTCTTCGCGCAGGGTCTCGTTTGGAAAGGCGAGGGACATGGGGCCGAAATGCCCCGGTAGCCCGGAGCGATGGGAGAGCATATCTTCAACGGTGGTGTTTGCGGTGGCGTACGGGTCTGCCAAGACAAAATCATCCCTGATCAGCGACGAGACGGGAGTGTCCCAGCGGATTGGAGCCGGTGTGTCCTTGCTGTCGTCAATGGCCATCGACATGAGGGCCGCAGTGAAGGCTTTTGTGGTGCTGCACGTGTCGAAGAGAGACTGGATGGTCATCTTCTTGTCAGGAAACTCCGCAATCCCGTATGCCTGCAGTCAAGGGTTAGCTCATACTATGTGATGAAGGCAGGGGAACTTGGCAGTACTTTGGCATAAGTGCTGGAGCCATGGACCACTGATATTGTCAGTCCAGGTACCTTCCATTTGGCCAGTTTCTCCTCGACCAGCGCGTCGAACTCCGGAGTCAAGGGAGAATTGTTGGGCCGTACAACCATTGTGGCAAACACTACGGGCGCCGACGGAGACTTCGCTAGTTGTCAATTGAACAGAGCCGGCTATAGCACGTCACCACGATCAATGACCCGAGAGGGTGGTATTAGAGTGGTTGATGGAGAAGGAAAGCGGGGAAATGTGATGGTCTTGCAAGCGGCTGATTTATCTCCCAGCTGCAGCCTACAGCCGCCCGGTGGGATACCGCTTTGGGTAAGTGCACCTCGAGGTGCGTCCTAGTGAGAATATTACAGATACCTCCAGGCTACGGCACGATGCTGACACACAAGTCTCTACAAATGAATGAAATCAGGTTAATCGGATCAAGTCATAATATGGGCAACATTTTGCCAATTAATCCTGTCAGACTAAGCAGCCACGGGGCGTGCATTTGCCTACATTCATCAAGGGTCACTTAATATAACTTAGAGAGTGTGAAGATGAAGGAAACCTGGGACTATTAATGGTATATATTCTCGGAATGTTCCTATTTGCGCAACGCTTGCTCAATCCAATCGGTGTCCATGTCGATATCAATTTGATGAAGGACCTCCTCCCAAAGCCCGGGATCATCATTTACATCGAAGTTAAAGGATATGTCCTGCACCGAAGAGATATCCTGGTTCTGAGGTCTCGGACCTGTCCGTGTAGAGTGTTCAACAACGCTAGAGGACGGTGTATGCTTCTGTATGCTAGCGGGGGTGGCCGGTATATCCATAGCATTGTTGTCCACATCCCCTGAGCGATTGGGCCCAATGACGGACTGTAGTTCAAGAAGCAATGAGTGACGAGCCTCGAGGATGGTATTTCCTCGATCCGCCATTCCACGGAGGAGATTCAGCGCGGTCGCCATGGATCGCGCATTGGAATCGTTGTGCGGGAATGCCGCATTGACCATGACCAGCAAAAGAGCGGCTGAGAAGATATACTCTCCATCCAGATATCCGTAGGTCGCTACTCGAGTGTTAGGATGCCAACCACATCAAGATCGAGGGACTCGAATGCACATACCAACCAGGTTCTGCTTAGAAGCAGCATCCATGATCATGATGGTAGCACGAGCAGCTGAAATACAGCTCTCTATTACCTGCACTGCATTCTGGGAAAGTCCTTTCTTCCAGTCATCCGTTACTGACCCCGCTGTCTCTGCATCCAGACGTCGCTGGATAACATAAAAGACCAATGGTCTCGCTGTCATGTTGACACACGAGTAGAAATGTAAAAACAATGACACTGATTCGCGATTGATGTGCGTTCCGAGGGTTGAAAAATCAATACGCAAGCGGTCAGGTACCCGCCGTAGCCAGTCGAATAGTTCGTCCATGATACTTTGTACTGAGAGGAGTAGGTTTGACCCAGAGCGAGGTTTCTTCCGATATATTTCTTCAAGCTATGAGTTAGTGATCGCTTCTTGCAGGTCAAAGAGGCCACTTCTACCTTCTCCAATGCGACCAAGTATTCTTGATAATTGAGTGTAGTGAATTAGAACAACAGAAGGCCAGGGGACAACGTCTCCGGGGTTCTATGTGCAGTTAGTTCATGCTCACACATACCTTGACGAATCAAGTACTCACAATCGGTCGCGGCCAAGTTGTCCCTATGTCTTCATCTTGGATAGTTATAGGATTTCCGGACTTCACGGATAGAAGCCTAGCTTTTGTCAGATAACGTCATTTCCTCTGAGCTGGGGCAGGACTACCGATCCAAACTGTACACAGACCACCAGGATCGACGTCGACGATTCCGGTCCTCTTCGCTCATTGCTGGATCCGATGCCTCTTGATGAAGTCCCAATGAGATGGCCATCCGCAGAGCGGTACCGATCTATTCATCACACATGTAAGCATCTGTTATCATGTGGGTGACGAAAACCACATACATAGAGGAATGCAGCATCCCGCCGATTCAGGTTCTGCATATAATATGCTACGTAGCATAGTACTTCGACAAAGAAGATGGAGCCCTCTTCATGAATGTCTGGTAGGAAGCGAAGTGCATGCTTGAAGTATTTGAAGCCGGGAGGACCATCATCTCCCGACCACTGATTCACCGAATACATCAGCCCGTACGAGATGATAAGCAGGACCTGGCAATAGACCAGACATGACTCCCGGTTGAACAGATCTGGAGGTTGGTGATAGACTATGTAAAGTCGCTCTTCGTAGTCATGTGGCTGTATAAGGGAAAAGATTGTTCCGATGTAACTGTACTGCACCCAATAAAGACGCTTGGCGTATTCGAACGGCGGCAATTGAGGTAAAGCCGGCGATATGGAGCGACGTAGGGAGGTTGGGTCATCATAAAGTGGGCGGGCATCCAACGCTAGATTCTTTGAGGTCGGGTTGAGACGCTTGGCCAAATGAGTGGCGGATGATGCTCCAATGTACTCTTGATTGGATCACGAATCCTTCAGTGTCTTTCCTGCGAAAGTAGGAGTGGTACGTACGATGTTCGCCGGACCGATTAAGGAAGAGGTTATCGGCTCCATTATACCACCAGTCGTCTCGTTCAAGCGATGTCTCCACTGGGGTTAGGGAAGTGCTCTGGGAAGCTGATGTGGAGTTGGGAGCAGGTGGTGGAGGGCGATTTCCATCTGGATAAGGGTGAGCTGGAAATTACGATAGCCTGTATTATAGGACGAAACAAACCCTGACGAGCGGCTTGTGCATCGGATAGCAAGCGCCGGAAGTAGCTACTCAATTAGATACTGGATGAGTAGGTATCGTCGTCAACTCACCTCTCGGTTATAGACACACGTTTCTCGGCTTCGGAATACACACAGTCATAACCTACGTCTTCGCACGCAGCACACGGATATGGAGGATTGCCAGCGCAGCGGGTCTTCCTGGAGCGACATCGATTGCATCTGCACGAAGACGTTAGTCCCACCCACGTGGCAAAAGGTAACATGGGTCCGTTCATACGCTACCATCGACCGCCTTGCGTTTGCACGCTCTTCGGCAGACCGGTGCTGCAACCCACGGTGGACCTTTCCTTGAGCCATTTTCAAGCACGCTTTGCTAGTGAAAAGGCAGGCTATGCATCATGGAACTGATGAAAGGTCTAGAGATGTTGTACTGAGGCTCGGATTGTGGCGGTCGGGTCCAGTTCAACAAATGCGGAGGGGGGCGGCAACTGATAAGGGAGATCGCGCACGTTGGACTTTTGAGTCACGGTCACGTTGATAAGCGTCCAGAGCAAAGTAGATAACGGACAGGAACTCTGAACACGAGGACTGGGATCTGAGACCGACTCCACTTGGTGCGAACTGCCCTCGTGGTGTTTCCACACAAAATGGGTCGAGAATCACGAGGCAAGGCTAGAAGGTTGGCATCCAAACAGTGCGGGGAAATTCGAGGAAACAGCCAAGGCGGTAACCAGAATGGTAGTAGTCACGCCCATGTGATCATCAGCCTGCAATACAGCCATCCGAAAGCCACGCGATCTACTTCCACATTTATGAATCAATCTTAAACTTAAGATCTCATCGGCCCGTTGAGGATTCCCTTGTTGCAGATCCGTCAGCCTGTCTCTGAACCTCTCACTATCACCCCCTTCAGAATCAAACTTCTCGGCCCGAACGCCCCATGGCCATGCGCCCGAGGGAATCGTGTTTCCCATCACGTAATTTCGAGTCGACTGGCCTTGGGACTCCTGATATGCTCCAATCAAGGTTCTCAGCTGAATGTCAGGCTGATTCCACCCGAGGCAGCCCGTGCTTGGGGACCTTTCAGACGTGTCGCACGCTGATGTTGCGACAATGACGTTGTAGGGATGTTTTCTCCGTTTTATTTTCTCGACCCGGTTTCGGGATAACGCGGCTGGGGACAAATTATAGCCCCCCAGATCGTCACACAGCCGGATGGATACCTTATATGAGAGCACCACTCCTTTCGACCTCGATTTCAATGCGGAGATGCTTGGAGGAGTAGAATGTGCGGTTCTGAGCGACTGCAACGATGTTTGTAGGCGTGATCGCAGTTCTCTTGGCATTGCTGGCTTCTGCCTACACTTTCCGTCAATACGCGTACTTGAACTGGGTTCTTGGCCCCTTTATATCGCGCATCTCGTCGTGGTGGCACCTCTACCTGCGTACCTCGCCTCATGACGGTCGCAAACTCTCAGAGCTTCATGCGAGATATGGAAGAATCGTCCGTCTAGGACCAGACCGGATCAGTGTCTCGGATCCGGACATCATTGCTCAGCTATACCAGTTTCAGATCGATCGTCTTAGGGTACGTCACCACGCACTGGTCCAAAACCAGAAGCCTTTCTGACAGAAGCAATCTCCAAATCTGCAGGTATCTCAATCGCAGGATGCTGATGCTTTGGCATATGGTGAACGCGATATCCAAACGCCAACCAGCCAGTGGGCGAGATTCCTGGAATACGAGGGTATCAACGATAGCTCAACAAATGAGCTCCTCGACGCACTCAGAAGACATCGAAGTATCGAGCTGGTAGCTTGTTTCAGGATATTCGCCGCAAAGCTCATTAATAAATGCATCCGCGACTCAGCGTCAAACACGACTCAGATACAGACACAAGCAACAAACGCCCTCTCGCTTCCCATCAAACCGTCCATAATAGAATACATACTCTTCCAGAGCCCTGTATCATCACTGAAAAGGTACCGAGGTCGGCAGCTTACACATTGTTCTATGCTGCCCGTCCATGCCCTCACGACACCTGCTGGCCTCCACAAACCAAACCCGGACAGCTTCAACATCCTTAACGGCAATACCCTGACGAGCGACGAGCTTACAGCCGAAACCGAATCCCTCATCACAGCCTTTGCCTCCGTCTTTCCATATCTGCTCCAACACCCCGAGAAGCTGACTACTCTTCGAAACGAGATCAATTCGGCCTACAATACCGGGTCAATCTCCTCCACCCCACGCTGGAGGGAACTATCACGCCTCCCCTACCTCTGCGCCGTGATGAAAGAGTCGATGCGCCTAACCTGCACCTCGACCAGTGAAAAGGAGTTCCCAGCCTCAGCGCTCTCGGATCATCTACGATCGGAATCCATCTTTCCGAGTGGTACGATCATCAGCTGCAACGCCTACGTCGCACATTTCAACAACACGATCTACGGGGGCGACGTACATGCGTTCCGCCCGGAGCGATGGCTCACTCCTAGCGTGCCGCAGCGGAAGCTCATGGATCGAACCATGCTCCTCTTTCATCCGGATCTACACACCAATCCAGAGCTCCGCGCCGCCTGGCTGGAATTGAAGAAGGTGGTTGTTCAGATTTTGCTCAACTTCAACGTGAGTTTCTCATTGCCCAATTCCAAAATTGATGCTTTGAACTCATATATCTCTAAAATGAATCAGATCCAAACCCTCCTAGCCGATCATCATGCAGGACAAACGTCGAACTTTTCGCCGGTTTCTACAATAGTTACTACGACTCCCAGGATGCCGGAGGTCTGACAGCATACAAACCCGACCACACAAGCTCTTCAGCCTCGGCTTTCATTGGATCATCTAGCAAATCTTTCATAAGCACCTTGCTCCCACAATGCCTCACCACGGCTGCTATTTCTCCTTCGACCTGTTCATGCCCAACAAGATATCCCCTTTGTTCAATCTCAATTATCTTATTATGATATAATCGGTCGCTTAGTCTGTCTACTTTACCATAGCTTTTCTTCTGGGTTAAGCCCCGCCCCACACGATCAAAAAAAGTGGACCCGTTCCCACCCGAGCCTCGGCTAAGCCAACCATGCTCTATCCGAGGCCGTTTGTAGGTATTACCAGTTCCAATCCTTGGGGAGGAATCAATGTCGGACAGACACATAAGAAGGTTAATAATCTTGCAAATAAGTAGCGATGAAGCAACTTGTACCCCAAGGCTAGCCGCTGAGAGCCGCCGCAGGCCCGCGAAGGAATTGAGGCTGGCGGCAGGTGACTGCTTTCAAATTCTTTGGCCGGCTCAAGTGAGCACGCTGACAGCAATCCAAACGACTTGCTCGTAGCTCCTGATTGAGGAGTCGTCGTGCTACGCTGACGACGCGAGCTGTTAGAGACCGTAATACTGCTCAGATGGAGAAGATGAGTCACGCTGCGCAGTAGCTTCCTCCAGTGTCAAGGAACCAGCGTGGCGGGAATCCAACTCCAAGAAACGTCTTCTGCTTGCTCCATTCCCTGATGTCAATGTGTAACCAACCCATTAAGTGCGCTCCTGGTTCCCGAGTCCGCTCGGACTCAACACGATGCGGGTCTAATCGATCGGATTGTGGAGCAAGGAACTATTCTTGGCGATCGGTTTGATATGGGGTCGATGACTTCGTTTATCGAAATGGAGCATTGGGCGGTTGAGAGCACAAAGCTACAGTGACAACCCTCTTCGGTGGATGCATTTCTCGCTTCGCGGTTGGAGAAAGGCCTTGAACGGGTTATGGAATATTATCTTGTCGATCAATAGGAAAGAGTGCTCGCACGAGATGCAATGATGAACACACTAGTCTAACAATACGAGCCATGAGGACCACGAGTATCTAGTCGTACCTTCGTCCAGGGTTTAGTCACCATCGCTCTGTTGTGAGGATAGGAGCCTCAGCGACCGAGTAGACATCCAAGTTCCTTGCAAGGTTTGTCTTCACCATTCAAGCGCCCAAGATCTAGCATGTTAGAAGGAATGGTAGACTTGGAAGGATAGCTGTCAAGATATGGCTTCCTGGAGTAAACTTGTCTGTTGCAGAGGCGCCCATGGAAGCGATCCCTGACGTATTAGCCGCCATGGTGCCTGATCAGATGGTTGGAGAACGAAGAGAAACGACAATTATTGCTTTTGTTATGTAGAAAGCTTGACCGGAGTATTCACGAGAGATAATTGAACTTGATGAGGGAGCTGTTCGAGGCGCAAAGAAGGCACCTTCTGTCTATGCGGCGACTTCGAGCTTCCAGGAGGAACAAGAGGGAGCCTACTCCTCGCCATCGGTCTTCAAAGGGAGAAAGACATGCTAAGCTCTCTAGACAAGAAGGACACAGAACAATAAGGAGAGTGAGCATATTTAAACAGATGAAAATGGTGAAAAAGAGAAAAAAGCCTCGAAAGCGACATCCCGCCGTCGGCTGTCACCAGGAATCCCCAGACTTCAAAGCGACAACTTCAGAGCACTCGAGACAGAGTGGAATGACATCTCAGGATATATTAGAGTCAACTAAAGAGAGTCAAGCACTAAATAAAGAGATCAAAAAGCTCACCTGTCGGCGGGGGCGCAAGGCGCCGCACCGCAGACAGGCTACGAAACCCCCCCTTCCAGTTATCCTAAGGAGGTTTGCACTACGAAAGGGCCGATCTCCCGGGGGGTCGAACCCAGACCACTGCGCCGTTTCCTGGTTTGTACCCGCAAGTGTTCCCGATTGCGCCACAGGGTCTGGGTTATTGACAGTTGTACTCGTTTTCGTTATAAGTACCGCGTTCCTGAATCCGATTAGGAAGGCGGTTGTGAGGCCCACTGTGGCAGAAAGAGACGGGGCTGTGGGGCACCACTTTCTCGAGGCCTGAGGCATGACGTCCAGAACGGCCAGCATCCTGCCACCACTTCGGGTCAGAGGAAGTAAGACAGATCAACCAGGATCTATCGGCACAGTATTTGCTGTTTGACTTATGTTCTAATCCCCAATCAATGTTTTACTCTCTAAGCTGTAGAATGTTGCCGCTTACACATAGACAATGTGGGGCTCATCTTAGCTTGGCATTCATGCTTAAATCGGAGTGGGTCTCCCGGCGGGCCGAAAAATAAACTATGGTCCCTGTATGTGCTCGGCAGTTACAATCACCGCAAGGTGCTTAATCACAGCATTTATATAAAGAGCATGTAACAAAACTTGGACTTTAAGTGTGACAGTTATCTATTTGTATAGTATTTGCTTTATCCCTCTCATCTCATACAGCCCATTATCATAAGACAATGAGACTGTCCAGACCTACTTCGGAGTGGAGTGACTAGTGTGTCTTAGTGCTTCCGCCAAGCAGAGTTTTATCACTAAAGGGTATAATGTACATGTCTGAACGAGAGACATGCATCTAGTAGCAGATGACTTACTTGGCGGTTGCTGCATGTTTGGGGAATTCACCCGACCATATGCGTTGGCTAGGAATTCGGCCTGCTTCAGCACTCATCAGGCAAGTCTCAGGAACAGTCACTCCAGTTCAGGAATGGCGGAGGCATTGACCGCGGCACAGTCATACTGTCATAAGGGGAATACATATGTCTCAACGGCCAAGGCTGCATGTTCAGCCTGCATCTGTTTTCAGAGCTCTGATATGAGTAGCTCGGTTATACTACTTACCACACAAGGAGCACAGTCTGACATCTCGGTGGCGCCATTATAATAGATACAGCTCTTTACTGGAAGAAGATTGCCGGAACGTCTCTGGCAGCACATATCATCTGCCATTCCTCGTCGAACGCCCTAGTCAGACGCCAATTTCATCGACAAACTGACTGAACGCAAAAGTACTCACTTGCCAGGTGCTAGGTGCTTAGAGACTCCTTCCTGGAACGGCCTAGCACAGAAGGGTCTCGTTCAGGCTGACCGGAGATCTGAAGCTTTGATGGTTCCACCCGAGCCTAGTCTAGACTAAGTAGTAGATTGACCCGATCATACTACAGAGTAGGATGTCTGTCTCCACATCTATACTACAAGGGACCCATGTCTCAGGAATTCCAAATATGCAATACTACCTCGCAAATGTACAGGTATATCGCTTCACCACGGATGCTAGGCTCTGCGATTCTGAGCTGGTCTAGCGGGGTAGCTGAGTATGGCATCTATTGTCCCGAGCTCTATCCGCAATCTTTTGAACTTCAGCCTCATCTTTCGCAGCATAGTTACTTACCATATCGGATCTACTCAATACATTACCAAATTATACCTTTAGAGACATAGCATCAAGCAAGCCAGCGTCGAAACGGAAGCTCTTTAACACCATCATCCCAGCATGGCGCATGAAGACCATCTCGCAGCCCATCAGCAACTACAACAAAACCAAGAAACGCCCAGCACCGAAGGATCTCAACTATCACCTTCAGCTCTAGTCAGCCCTTCACCAGGATACTACATTCCAAATATCCTAGTCTTGTAACCTCAATCCGGCCTACGTCCCCCAAGAACCAAACCTATATAAACCAGACTTCAACCCCCTCGTTCCCATTGCCAGCAACACAGACTCACCAGCTCACAACCCAACGAACTCCAACTTTTCCCCTCCTCAAACCTATAATTCACAGTCCACCACAATGCAACTCCTCACCTACCTCCCCCTCGTGCTCAGCCTGAGCACCCACATCCTCTCAGCTTCTTGGGGTATCAAGGCCTGGTACAGCGACAACTGCAGTGGCTCCCTGCTGACGCACATCGAGAACTCACCCAAGACGGGGTGTTTCAACTTCGACAAGAAAGAGGGGTACGGGATCCGCTCGGTCAATGGGAACTTCAACAGCAAGGACTACCACATCACGATCTATCCCAAGGAGAACTGCAAGGGAACGGCGGCGTGGTCCGGCAAGAGCATCAGTCCCCAGAAGTGCGAGGTGTTCAAGGAGTGGACCTCGAAGGTCGTCATGTACTCGTACAAAGTCACTGCTGCTTAGGCTTTTGTCGGGGGATTGGAGGGGGTGAGTTGCTTTTGTCTGGCTTGTACCAAATCGCAGGTTCTTAGGGAGATGACTGACGTTGCGGTGCAGGTACGGGGATATCGCTGCGCCTATGGCGTCAAAATATATATTTTTCTTCCTGGGTCATGATTTTTGAGTGGGATAGCTGTACTTACTCTCTCACCATGATTGCTAGGAGAAACTATTCATGCCATTAGCACTTTTCTTCCTTTATGAATGTATGCATAAGACCGTTTGTGAACAATCGCATTGTAATCCCGAAGATTGAGATGACCAGCATAGACCTACCTCTTTCCATGCAAGCTAGAGCCTAATCACCCTGTAGTCCACCTTATGCTTTCGAAACGAGTTACTGAACAAATTCCCCGCACGTGTGGGAGACAGACCCCTCCCCCGCACGTAAGGCGGTCAGCCCTACCGACCTTTGTTCCCCATGCTTAGACATCATAAGTTACGGTGCATGACTTAATCGCGACGTTCTAGAACCCCCAATCCCTCGATCAATCAATCTTCAAGAACCCAAGTGAATCACACACCAACCGTATCGAATAACTAATCAAGTCCAGCCCATGTACAAGCACTCGTAGGTGACTCCTCCCCTCACGACCGAGAATCAGAATTCCCCACATCGCCATTCCCCAACAAAGAATCCATACAGCGCAAGCACAGTACATAATCATCGATGATGGCATCCATCCCCATTACGTCACCACCACCACCACCACCAAGAGAACCCAGACTATTCAGATTTATAACCCCTGCCCCCAATTAGTCAATACCACATAAAACCACCAACCACCCAGGAATCCCTCCCAGCTCTCTGGATTTAAAATGCCTCGCATCCCCTCCCCATCCTCCAGCCTGACAAAATACCTCATCAATCCATCAACAAAAACACTCACACTCATCACCCCCCGAACCACCCGGCTCCCTCTTCTCACAGCAACAAAATTCCCCAGCTATCGAAACCACAGCACCACCACAAACATCAGCAAATACACCGCCGGAAACATGACGAGCCAGCCCCCAAAGAACGAGATGGTCTACTTCCCCGGCGTTATGTCGCCGAGCCGGAAGTTCGGGGTGTTCCGCAAGGTGCTCCACACCGGCCTGTACTCGCAGTTCGTGGCCATGGAGGTACCGGTTAATGGGGAGATTGGGGACGAGGTTTGTACTTCCAGAAAGTTGCATGAGGCGAGCGAGCTAACACCGAAATTTCTGGGGTAGGTGCATACGGTTGATCAGACTTTGATTTTCACCCACGGGACGGGCAAGGCGATTGTTGCGGGCAAGGAGCAGGAGGTCAAACAGGGGGATGTGGTGATTGTGCCGGCGGGGACGCAGCACCAGTTCCTGAATGCGGGCGATACTCCCCTTGAGTTGGTGACGATCTATGCCCCCGCGGAGCATGATCCTCGGACAGTGCACCAGACCAAGGAGGAAGGGGACGCCCAAGAGGAGGCGGGTGAGGATGAAGCACCTGAGTGGAGTCAGCGGAGCAAGAGCGAGAACGAAAGGATTGGCCTGGTCAAGGTGCCACAATAGCTGGAATTTGGAAAGATCATGTACATTGTAGTATTCCATTACGCACAGATAAGTTCTTGAAACAACAACAGTGTCGTCAATTGTGACTTCTGATGATCCCACCGTATTAGCCATAACCCCCTCCTCCTTGGCTCTCGGCGCAAGATGGTACAAAGTGAGCAGACCGTCACAATGTCCCCAGTAGACTATTTGTCATGTTGCTCACATGAAGCTTGTTCTTGAGGGACGGTCTCAAATGGCACATTGGGGTCGCCGAGAGCAGGCGTCTGAGATTGACTTGGCATCCTTACACCATTAGGTTGCTCCGGGAGCCGAAATACAAGCCACACAAGCCTGTCGCCGCCATTTTCTTCGTTGACTGGCATTCCAGTAAGGAAACAAGGCATGCAGGTGCACATTACAGCAAAGCCGAGCTGCATGACGGACCATTGAGTAATATGGCCGTAATCGCCTGTTAAGTTTAGTACAAGATCAATGGTTTTAATTGTGTTATCTTCAGCATACCAAGAAAGTCACCCGTCTTGCATCCATATGCAACACGAACTATATCGCTCATAATGACACTATCTGCATTAGCAGAAATACCTCTGGTGGGGAAGAAGTCGCGTGGCACTTACATCGATACGAAGATGATCACTAGTGCCAACTGTACCCTCATCCCGCCAAGCCGCAGTAGAATATATCTAGGAACCAACAAAAACAGCACTGCAGCATTAAGCGCTAGATAGAAGACTCCAAAAGTCCAAAGATGCAGCTGTGATGAGGAGCAGCCGCCAAGGATAGACCTGTCTCAAAAGTACTGTGGTGGGATGCAGATCAAAGCCTGAGGGATTGTCTTGAAGAACCAGAGGGCCGCAGAAAAAATTATGAATGTGTCAACGCGAAAGCGGAGATTTGGGATTGGAAACAGTCGTCGGCAGGACAAAAGCAATGAGAGTCGGGCCAACAACACAGGCCATGTAATAGCGGGTCAGCATAACTGGCCTGGAGGTACTGTCTGGTCTTCAATTCAGCCTCATTTGGATCTGTGTAGCTCTGGCCCCCACCGTAGGTGTACACGCAGACAAGGGCTCCGACACAGTAAGCAATAAATACAACTAGACTGACGATGCATAGCTTTTCATCGGCGCCAATCGACAATCCTTGGGCTCTGCGCGCACGTAGACGTAGGAACATAACAACTACGGCCATCGCAATCGAGATAGCAACCGTGTACACTGTTGTGAGACCAGTCATGTGTTGTTGTGGTGATATTATAAACTCAGAGGACGCCATGCTGAGAGTTTGGTCACATCTGAATCGGCTGTGGACGATTCAGATGAGTCGAAAATCGGGCCAAAGATAAACAGTAAGACGTGAGTTGCAGACTAATCTTTGAAGACGTTCGAAGTCAGTCCTGACTGATCGGAACATGAGAATTACACGGGCAAATTAAAGCAAGTACTTACTTGGTTTTCAGATGTGTTTATGTGTGATGAAAGACGTATGGTGAAAGAATGAAAGTCATGGAGGGTCGAATGAGCAGGATCAGACTGATTACCCTCCTTGAGAAGGTAGTTGCTTTCTAGGTAGTAATAACATTGGCGAGGGGCGAAATTCACTCCTATCAGATAGTCCAATTCGGAGAGAATCACAGCTGTGACTACAACATTGATTTAAGTGAATGGAGAAATCGAGTGATAAGGCAACTGCAGCCCGATTCAGAATCTTGTTTACACGTCTGGGTTATGGTGTGGTCGTGACGTGCATCAGCTCAAGTTTCACCGCCTCACGATGTTGGTCTGACTGCGACAAACTGGGCAATAGGACAGAGTGTAAATGGAGAGGAAGAAGACTAAAAGATAAACAATGAATTTGTACATGTAAGCAAGATGTGAGTCGTCGACTGTAATGGAGACAAAGCGCTGTTTGAACTATGATTGTATCTCAGTGTAGCCTTCATATGAAAGAGTAAGTTTTATGATCACCTTACCATTGATTTACTTCTAATAAACTTGTGCAGGTCCCTCTTAGCCACAAGCACACATAGTGCTTGTATAATATTGGTTAACAATTTATGTTCATACAGACAAGGCTTTTTTTGGGTCCACCAGAAATTGTGTTCTGGTTACAAATAGAGGGGCAACCGAAGCAGAAAGAAGTAATTAAATGGTGATGCCCCAGGTTCAAATTACTGTCGCGCATATTTGACTTCAATTCTCGCTAAAAACTTTCATGACATTAGTACCAAAGTAATCTATCACACTCTATCAATATGAACTCAAATAACATCAAGACGACAAATTTTCCTTTCTATATCGCTTCCAACTGACAAGCATAAAGAAAACCGAGGTTACCACCCCGAGACCAGCAAGTCCGATACCTAAATATAGCGCACCGCGATATCCCCGAAGCGCAGCTTTCCCCCCGTTGTTGACATTCGACTCCACGGTACCAGCAAAGCCCAGCCCAAGCGAGATCGAATAGTTCACTGTCGTGGTGACCAAGGAGGCTGCGAGCCCTTGGTGGTGGTGATGCATCGAATTGCTGAGGATCAAGGTGCCGGATGGGAATGACATGTCCCTGTAACAAATTAGCGACATGCTACCACTGACGAAAGAACTAGGTGTATACTCACATTCCCCATGAAGTGATCAAGCTAGCAACGAATGCTTGGGCCCAATAGGTCTGGTTCAAGGGTATTGTGGCAACAAGGCCCTGACCGACGGTGAAGAAGCACATGGCGCAGAACATGATCACACTCGGCGGCAATCGGCCGAGAAGGAAGCCGGTGACAAGGGCGGCGACTGCCCCGGACGGTGCAGCAGCAGACCACTTCGCCGTTGCCAGTAGAGGCGAGTCTCCTTTGATCACCTCCATGAACTGATAGAAATAATAGATGACTATGCCAAAGCTAGACCAGCCGGCAGCAATGCATCCGAGCACCCATGCCAAATCCCCTGTCAAAACCGACCGGGGAATCAGTGGACATGAGGCCGAGGCTTCGACCCAGACGAAGATTCCGAAAAGGATAAAGCCGACGATGAGAAGAACATAGGTGTACACCGTCGGCCATCCGACCAGAGCTGCTTGGTTCCAGGCGAAGTTGATCAGTACTAGTGCTGAGATACCGGTTGTCGCTCCGACGACGTCCAAGCGAGCCCACGTCGATAGGTCATCCTTGAATTGCGGCCGGTGAGTTTGTGGTATAACTAGCAGGCCTAGCACCGACAGCACGAAGCAAACGATCCCCATAACCCAGTACGCCCAAGGCCACCACACGAGCTGCGCGAATATTGATGAGAATACACCACCGACGATGAACCCGCCAGGAGCAGTTGCACCGAAACAGCTGAAAATCATTTCTTTGCGCAGGCCCGGGGGGTATGCGCGGCCGAGGATCGCAATCGCATTCGGGAGCAGCAAAGCTGGGCCGATGCCCTGAAGTGCTCGGCAGCAGTCGAAGAAGACTTTGTTGGACCATACACTAAACCCAGCCAGAAGTGACCACAGGCCGAACCACGCGAAGCCGATGATTAACATAAGACGATGACCATACACATCTCCAAGCCGACCCGCAACCAAAATGAAAGTGC